ATAAAAATCTTTCAATTGCAACTGTAGCTTTTTTCCCCAAAAACTTTGTCTTCAAAATAAGGGTGCGTCTTATTTTCCAAAAAATACGATATTAGTATCGTTTGTAGGGATGGGAAACAAAATATAAAAAAAAAGGTAATTAAACCACCATTTATCGTTGATTGAAGTTGAGTTCACTGAAATGGTATAAAACAAACTCCCTAAAATATTTTGTGTTTTGATATATTTTATACCATCAATCACATTTTGGAAAAAAATACTTATGAAATGTTACTGATTTTGTTATTATTTAACAATTTTGATCAACCAATTACATTTCCTTCAAGTTTTAACATCTTAGAGAGGGAGCTGTGAAAGATTATACTCCTGGACTTGCTCTTGTGAACCCCGTTTTTCATGCCTTTTGTGGCGGTTGTAGAATTTATTTGTGAATTACGAAAGTAAATTTCTCTGCTGCGGTTCTGTTGAATTTTTTGAGTAAAGTGTAGGCCTAATTGTTAAAAACGATCAACAATGGATCAAGATCAAGATGTTAATGGATCATCAAGTTTAGAATTGAAACGGGAAAATAGGTAAATACTTCGCATTTCAGTAATTCAATTTTCTCCTAACAAAATTAAGTATAATATATTACTAATGAAGTCTATGGTTTTAGGAAAACACGTAGGTTCAAAAAATCTTGATAGAAATGAATAAAAACCCTAAAGTATAAGTATAACCCGAGCGCTTTCGAAAGGTGGACCTTACTTTTTGAGGTTATTATTTTTTGATGCAACTCCAACAGGGTAGACAGTGACAGTAGGCCTAACTCAGTAATTGCAGCATGCAACGAAATGAACCTACTTCTATTCTAATACAAATAATTAAAAATAAATTATAACTTGATACTAGAAAAAAAAGCTATTTTTGTTCATTCCTATAGAATTTTAGCACTGACATGTTTCCTCATCAGATTACATGATTCAAACATTTTCAACAAAATCTGTAACTGTATTAACTATTATGTATATCTGCAGCTAGAACTTTTTAATTTTATGCTGGAAAGTGTTAATTTTTATTTTGAAATTAAGTATTGTAGTGTAATTTGTAAGCTGGGTAATACTAGTAGTAAACACTGGAAAAGAAATATATATATATATATATATATTTTGGGAATGTAAGTTAACTTTGTAAGAACAACGAATCAGTGTGTGAAACACCAGAGCATTTAGAACAAAGATATAACTGAATTTAGGAGGAGCATGTGTTTATTCATTTTTAAATACTAACCTGTATACACGAGGCACAAAAAAAGTGATGTGTGACTCCAATTGTCCTTATGGAAAAATAAATACTATGTTGGAAAAATGTATTTTATAAAATGAACATAATCTATTATTATTTAAATAAGATGCTATCCTCTATGACAGGATATCATCGTCAAAAGATGAAAACAATAATTTGAAAAAACAACTGATTAGAGAGACAATGGCCTCATTCTTATTGTCAAAATCAGTATAGCCAAACATGTGGAAGTATAAATGACAGTGTATTTGATGACAAGAAAAACTATCACACAACACCTGAAAAAAATGACATTATATCAGTATTATAGATTTCATCGTCATCCATACTAGTCGATTGTTTTACGGTTAACAGTATTTTATACTCAGCAGTGTTAATGGTGACCTCTATTGATTGAGTAAAGTTTACTCTTGTGCCAAATACACTCAATTCAGTCTTGTGGAATAAAGCAAGAACAATAATCTTTCATAAATAAATATTGGTACTGATAAATAAACTATGTATATGATAATATAATAAATTCAAGGTTTTGTCAATACCATAAGGACAATTGAAGTTGCGTATCACATTTTTGTTCCTAGTGTATACAGGTTAGTATATATACATAAACACATTCTCCTCAAAAAACAGTTATATATTGGTTCCAACTGCTCAAATTCAATGTTTTATGCACAGATTTGGTGTTCTTATGTACTGTTTTTTATTGTTGTTTTTTTCATGATTTAAAAAAATAAATAAATAGAAAGGGTGAAGAAAAAGACCAAAGGACTGAATGAAATTATGGCATTAAAAATAAAGGGAATGAATAGGTTTATGTGGCAGTATTTAACTTCTCATGTGTAAATAGGGATTCCGAGATTATTATAGTTCACAGCCAAGGAAGTGTCCGAGTGTGAAGTTGCAAATAATCAAAATACTAAATTATTGTACACCAAACAACAAATGAAAAAGTCTACAGTACTATTACATGTTGAGTTTGCACTGTTTATTTCAAGGCAACCATACTCTGATTAGGTGTAAATTGGCTATAGTAAGATCACCATGACTGCTAAACATTCCTCTGGCATTTAGTGATGACCAATGGGCAAATGTTAGCACCAAAAATGTAATTGGTGTGTGGGTGCTTAGCCCTTAATGATATATTAAATGAAAGCTTTTTTCATGCTCGTCATTGATCTGTGTGTTGTTTTCTTTTTATCCAGAAGCATTTTCTATTTGATAACACACAAACAAAACTTTAAAACCAATAATAAATATCCATTGGTCACTTAATTTACGAACGAGGCCATATAATGGACTTTGTGGTCCTTATATGATAATTCACAATTCAAACTGGTAGAATGTCAAAAAAAAAAGATAATTGGAACTGTAAGCAGATGATACATTTCCTTGACAACAGTTTGCTTTATGTCAGAACAGGTACTCATCTGTCAGTCATAAAACCAATGTGAATACAAAATCTTTACTAGATAAATATGTAAGTTCCTACTTTGTGTTATCATTTCATTGTTATTTTATCAATATACAATATAAATTCATGTGTGTAGGGTTTAAATTGAAGTATTTTATTAGGGTTATGTTTTATCTTGCCTTGTCATGAGTTTCATGCAATGCCTAAAGTAAAGCAGTTTTATTTGTATTGTTTCAGTTAGATGTTTTTGATACAAAGGGTCATTTTACGAGTACAATTATTAATTGTTTGATTTTTATTAATCATTAACTGTGTAATTCAAGTAGCAGTGTAAATTACTAATTATGTCCGCAACGTGAGAGGGAATTGCCAGTCAACAGATCACTGCTGACTGGCTAATGCATTGAGGTTTGACAACATGACTTATCTTGTTCTAAGATCAGTTCATACTAAACTAATAAATACATGACCTAACAGGGAAGAATTTACTCTTTACGAGCATACGCCAACAACATGGCAAATCCAAGTCTGTTTAGTGTATCCGTTTCCGAAAAATGTTCTCGTAGATTGAGGATTAAGATCAAAAACAAGTTTCTGTGTTAATGTTAAGTTTTTGAAAATTAGTTCTTTTTTATTTGAAATTTCTGTAATTCTCTTTAGAGAATAAATGTTGATAGAAATTGTATTCATGGTTTTATGCATTGTTTTAGGTGATCACAGAACTAGTGGTATTTCTAAAATTTCTTTTTGACAAATAATTTGAAAAAGACATATTTACCTACCTACCCACATTTTAAATGAGCTTAGGGTTATAGCAACAAAACTTTTTAAGCCTGGTTTAATATTTTCTTTAAGCTCTAAGAAGTACTATCTACACATGACAAACTACTGTAAATATACAGTGATTAACTTCACTTTTATGATAAAATGCTCATTTCAATATGCAGCTCCATCACACCACATAGTTTGATAGAGTCCACATTAGTTCTTTCACTAATTAAACGTGTAAAGTGTGAAATACACTAGGAAGGAAATTAGTCATGTGTAATTTGACTGTGAAAGAGGACTGCTTTTCACAGTCACTCAGAAATATCTCGATGTATGTATACGTAAACTTTCCAAACTATAGTAGAAATGTGATGTATGCAGTGGTGTTTTTTTACAACAGTCCACTAACTATCTAAGTATATTATTTTTGACAAATTTTTAACAACTGCTACATGAACCAGCTTGCCATCTTGATGTGGATCCAAAAAATAAGTCATTCTGGAAGTGTATGGATTGTTTTAATTTGACAAAAAGATGTTTGTCACTATTTGTGAGGTCTAGGTTGCTGGACCTAACCCGAGAGCATGGTAAAGTTATCTTGTAATTGTAAAGTGATGTAGCATTGGGGAAACTTGATATATTCTAGATGTGATTGTGGTGGTTAAGTGTAGTGATTAAGCCAAACCAGGTTGGATGAGGGAAAAACATATTTTAAGATATCCCAATCAATTTGACATGCCAGCTGAATTGGAGGCTTATCAAGTGATTACTGCAGTGAAAGCAAAACATAAAAGAAAAATGGGCACAGTAGTATAATTACCTTCAAAATGGGAGACTGGAATCATATATAAGAAATCATTCATTTCAGTATTGTGTGAAACTAATGGCACAGTAAAGTCCAAGGATGGAATGTTGAAGCAGATCTAAGGGCACAGTAAAGCCCAAGCATGGAGTGCTTTACTGTGCTGTTAGATCTGCTTCAACACTCCATCCTTGGGCTTTACTGTGCTGTTAGATCTGCTTCAACCCAAGGATGAAGTGTTGAAGCAGATCTAACAGCACAGTAAAGCCCAAGCATGAAGTAACACTTCATCTTGGGCTTTACTGTGCCGTTAGATCTGCTTCAACACTTCATCTTGGGCTTTACTGTGCCGTTAGATCTGCTTCAACGCCGTTAGATCTGCTTCAACAGTAAAGCCCAAGGATGG